ATACTAAACAACAGCCTAATCACAGCAATCTCACAGTTGGATGATGCATTTTTTAAATATATTTTCATTAGCACAACTTTATACAAATACACTAACTCTGCTGTAGTAGCAATACCACTTGTTAAACATACATCCAACTTCTTTCTTAAAAAACAAATGTTTAAGATTTAAGTTTTAAATCACACACTTATTTATTAAAGTGTGTGTATTTATGACATAATGTAGCACTAACTGTTGACTTGATGTATCTGAAGTTCTGAGAAAATAGTTTTTTACATTTGAAAGCATGGTTGTACTGCAAATAAACTGTACATTACATTACAATGTTAAACTGCCAGACTTCCTGCCATAGTTCAGAGTTGCCAGAAGCAGCCCAGTAGTGATGATCTTTGCTGGTCTGTAAGGAGCCTGTTATTTAAGGTCACATAGAGTGATGCCACTGTAATGAACCTCATGTCTGGCTTTGACTCCCCTAGTAGGGAACAATACACGGAACATGTTCCCAAAAAAAAACAGACATACATACACACACACAGTTAGTGCATCACAGTTGGTCTTCCTCAATCTATCAAGCTGAACAGTTCACCCCTGGTACATTACCCACAGTGCAGTATGCAGAGAATAACTCAGCATGAAATGTTCTCTTAAAACTAAAATGTGTCTGAACTAGAAAGCCCTAGGTACAATAGCATTTACTGAGCCAAAAAAGCTTAAGCCCCAAGTTTCACAAATGTCATTGTTTCACTGCAGACAAAAACTAAATTAGACAGTTTTATGACCGTTTTTAGCCTACTGGGTCATTGTATGTCTGGTTCGATGCAGATGGAGAGGACAAGATCCAGTTCAAAGACAAAAAGAATGCTGATAGATGAAAGCTTTCTTCACTTGAAGGGAAATATTGTACACGCCAAATGTATTACTAAGATTTGGGAAAAGGTCAAATTGGAATATATAAAAGTCCAAAGGGAAAAGAGACAGAAGAGGCCAGCCGGATTGTAGCCAGGATTTAAGAAATGTTCTTAGTCTTGAGTCCAAATTCCTCTAAGTCTACCTAACTAAGGAACTTTTGCCTTGCCACCAAAATATATTTGAAAAATTCAGGCATTGTCTTTCCTACACATTTGTTTGGCTGTATTTATGCCGGATAGCGTATCTGTCTAAAGCAGTGCTTCTCAAAGTGTGGTCCGCGGACCACTGGTGGTCCGTGAGCGCCCCCTAGTGGTCCGTGAGTATATTGGTAAAATTTCACATTTGAAAGAAATACATCTATTTAAGTTTTTCGCACTCTCGTGGGAATATCTCCGCAATGGAACGAGCTTAAGTTTCACTTCGATTGCATAAATAGCCCAGATAAACACCTTCATCACACATGTTGCCACTTGTTTGTATCATTTTCAGGCGATTTGTAAAAAACTATGTGTTTTTGGATATTTGTGGAGTTAGGTGGTCCGCGAGTGTTTTTTTATTGGTTAGGTGGTCCTTGGTATGAAAAACTTTGAGAAACACTGGTCTAAAGGCACTGCTATGTTCATTACTGTTAGGAATCATCTATTTTTGACAAAACCAGTACAAATTGCTAATCATCTGAATGATTATTGTCTTGATAAAGTAAAACATTTGAGGAGAAATATGAATCAAACTATAAATAGTAACTCCACATTTCTAATAAAGGATTTAATTATGACGAATAAGAAGTGTACATTTAAAATATAAAAAGTGAAATTAAAGATGTTGAATGTTACTAGGTAAATGTAATGATAAACCACCAGGAGTGGATCATTTAGTTGGTACATTTCTTAGATATGTTGCTAATTTTGTTGCAGAGCCTATCTGTCATATTATACATTTGAGTATTGATACATGTATTTGCCCACAGGTATGGAAAATAGCAAGAATTATTCCACTTGCAAAAAATCCAGCTGGACCATTTTCTGGTACAAATAGCCGTCCAATAAGTTTATTACCAGCATTAGTAAAGATAATGGAGAGAATAATTTTCAATCAAATACAAAAATACTTTGAAGGTAACAAACTTAATACTGTGTATCAACATGCTTACAGACCTGGCCATTCCACATGCACCGCTTTAACAAAAATGACAGATGACTGGAAGGGCGAACTAGATAATAGGAAGTTAGTGGGTGTAGTACTACTCGATTTTAGTTCTGCTTTTGATGTCATTGACCATTCTTACAAGTTGGAACAATATGGTTTTAATTTTGAAACGCTGAGGTGGATAGAAAGTTACCTGATAAATCAAAGTCAAACTGTTTTTTTTAATGGAAGTCTCTCAAAGATGAAAACAGTCACTTGTGGAGTACCTCAGGGTAGTTGTTTGGGACCACTTTTATTTTCTATTTTTACAAATGACCTACCATTAGTGTTAGAAAAAGCTAAAATTGTAATGTATGCAGATGACTCAACAATATAGTATGCAGCATCAACTACAAGAGAGTTGACAAATGTTATGAATAAAGATCTACTACTGATATCAGGGTGGGTCATAAATAATAAGTTGGTACTTAATGCGGGAAAAACCAAATCGTTATTAATAGGATCAAATCATCAGTTAAAAGGTGAACCAAAATTGCAACTACATTTAAACCATATTGAAATTGAACAGGTCAAGGAGACAAAATTGCTAGGTATAACCCTGGATCATAAATTATCTTGGTCTAAACAAATTGATAGTGTTGTATGTAAAATGGGAAGGGGTGTGTCACTTGTAAAAATAATTGTAAAATATTTGCCTATGGATGTCAGTAGACAAGTTTTGGATGCTTTGGTTCTGTCGCAGCTTGATTATTATTTGGTTATATGGTCTAGTGCTGCTGAAAAAGATTTAAACAAACTACAAGTAGCACAAAATAAGGCAGCACGATGTGCACTCCAGTGCTCCTACAGAACCAGAGTCACTGAAATGCTGGAGACACTGAAATGGTTAACTGTCAGACAGAGGTCAACTTATATTTTATAAAATGTTGTCAGAAATATTACAGTGATTCACTCACCAGATATATTATCACAAAGGTTTATAGCGCAATATGCACAACATAACTATCAAACACGACACTACAATAGAAGGAAGGTTGTATTACCCAATCTAAATCAAATATGGGACAGAAAACAGTCATGTACAGAGCCATGATCAGCTGGAACTCTTTACCGGTTCACATCATTCAGGAAAATTCTCAAGTACATTTCAAAAGGTTGCTAAAAAAATATTCAAGTATTACAAAGTAAATTTGAACTGTGCCTGTGGCTATGTATGCATATATTATTATGTACACTTATTTGTATTTACTTTTGTTTGGCCTGAGGATGGCGATAATTGGATGACCATTTTAGTTTTCACTTCATTTCACTGTAAATTGCATGAAATTATGAGCTGTTTTGTTTTGTTTTAATTTTGTTGTATGTATGTGTATGTATGTGTATGTATGTTTTGAGTGTGTGAGGACCCCAGGAAGAATAGCCAATGCTCATGCTAGTGCTAATGGGGATCCTAATAAAGACAAAAAAATAAATAAAATGATGATGTCATCCTTTTAAATATCACCAAAGTAGACATCAACTTTGACTGTCTAGTCTATTCAACTTGGTCTGATAATATGTTCAGTAATTTCGCCGAGAGATGTTTTATTTGAGTGATGGGTTCATTCCAGACAGCTACCAGCTTTGAGGTCATGCATTCATGGAACCTCCGTCCCCCAATACAAGAATCCTAGTCAACCAGACTGGCTATGTAAGGGGTGAACATGTAAATAGGAAGATATATTAGAGGTTTTCATACCAGTACCCCTGACTGCCCTTTCAAATCTCCTTAATCTGATTTGAGCACCTTGGACAGCAGCACAGGGAACATCCGCCTGTTTTCCGGCAGAAGATACTTAGTGCACTTAGAAGCACTCGATTTAGCTACCCAAGCAATGTGTGTAGTTTACTGTGACCTTGCATGTCTCCTAATATTCCCCCAAATGTGTGTTTGGGTGAAAGAATGAGACACAAAGACAGGCAGAAATAACCAAATGCCTGCCGACGGAGTGTTCCCTCCACCCTGTCGAGAAACACCCTAGCACCCCTGTTTGTGACTGATATATGGGAGCGTTTCTGACTGTGGGTGGCATCCTGTCTGTTTGCCTTACTGTCACCCTCTGAATGCTGCTGGGTCAGGATTGCCACTGGTGCCTCGCTCTTCTCCTCCCCTCACTCTCTTCCTCCTTCCAATATCCTTCCTTCCAATACTCCATTATTTGCTTTTCCCCTCTTCCTTGCTGTCCATTCAACCCTTCCTTCACCTCCCTGACCCTCCACCTGACCCTCCATCCGCCTCTTCTCATTCCACGTTTACCTTAACCTCCTAAACAGCAACATTACATCTCCTAGTCATTGTTCTGGCCTCTGTGGTCATGTTAGCATCCCATTTTATAGACTGGGATACGAGTGGGTGACTGGAGAGAGACGCCGTGGGCAGGGAAAAGTCATGGAGTGTGAGGGGGAGGGGCTTTCTGGCGGGGCCTGGGACCTGAATCAGACAGACAGTGAAACGTCACACCGAACCCTGACGACCCGACTGTGATCACATTTTTATTTTTGTGTGCGCTTGTCTGTGTTTGTGTGTCTCTTTGTATGGCGGCTGTATTTGTGTGTGTGTGTTTGTGTGTGAATGGGGGTTCACACTGTTAGTAGCTCAGAGCCAGCTGAGGATGCAGTGGAGACAGAGACAGAAGCGCTGAGCAGCACATAGAAACCACCACTGAATGTAGAGTTGTATGGGACTAGGATTTCTGCTTTTTGGGATTTGGCAGGTGAGGAAGCCGCTATATGGAAGTGTTTACGTTGAGTTATGTGTGAGACGTATGTACTGTATGGGGATTTGTATTCAGCAGAGTGCAGAGTTCAAACGCCTTGTGTCATTAACTTACAGTACTACTTGTACAGTAGCGCGTCATCAGAGAGAAGGAGGATCTAATGTCTGATGATCCATGTTGTCACTGCAGGTTGTAAGCTGTCCGCCGGGGAACAGATCTCAGTGCTGCGCCCAGAGCCCCAGGGAGAGGTGCGCTCACACTCACTGGACCAGCAGCAGGCCTTGGCTACAGACTTCTTGTCAGGTACAAGTCTAGCATGACACTTTAAATTAAAAAAATTAAAATGGAATTCTGAAAACACTTTTGCTTCCAAATAGTGAAGCAAACAAGCTTGAAGTCATAAATATGGAAACATGGAAGCTATAAAGATCTGTTGAATATATTAGGGGTGCACCGAATGGGAAATTCTTGGCCGAAACCGATACCGAAAATAGGAAACAGTTGGCCGAATGCCGAAAGGCCGAAAATGATTAATAGAAATATATATATATAATGTATACATTTTTTACCAATGTTGTTCAGCTACCTGATTATGGAAATAGACATGATTATGGCAAAACTTAACTTAAATAATAATCACTATTATGGGTCCATAAAACATTTATTCAGCACTTTTGAATGCATACAGTACATTTATATATGTCATGTATTATTGCTAAAAAACATGATATCGCAGTCTTAGTGTCGCCAACTCGTTTCTAATATGCAAAGACAACAAATGCGTCTATGATGTATTTTCGATCAGACGAGATCTCTCTCTCCCGTCTGTGTGCGAGGGGGCGGGGCAGTTTACACACACGCAGCTGCTACATGCAGCGGAGCACACTGCGGAGATGGCGGAGAGAACGCGCTTCGAGGTGTGGTTAAACTTTACCCGTCTCGATGTGGAGAATACTTGTTACCATAAGTGCAATAAGAGTTTAGCATGTAAGCACGAGCAATTTGTCTAAACATTTAGCAAAAGTGCACCGCATGCAGACGGAGGAATGCACCGGGTTCGACCGTCTTTCTAGCAGCTCTGTAGCCCCATCCACGAGTAACGTTTCCACGTCAGGTGTTATGTATGCTAGCAGCAACACACGGAGTTAACTACATTATACAAACATGGGTTAATGATTAGAGGAAACTGAGTTATTTAGTTTGTTAAAATGTCAGCTATTCTGTTTACAGTCTGTCATCAGATTATTTAATACGATTTGTTAAAGGCTCAGGGCAATCTCGATGACAAAGGTCAATGTTCTGTGAGCCAGCCGCGAGCATGGTCGCCGCGTCTTTATTCGTCATCACAAACAACACGTTAGGTTACCAACGTAAGCCTGTTCTGACATTCGGTGATATTTTTTCGGTGCTAAAACCCTTTCGGCCGAAAGCCGAAAGGGCCTTTTTAACCATTTTCGGCCGATAATTTTCGGTGGCCGAATATTCGGTGCATCCCTAGAATATATAGTTAAGAGCATTTAAACAACACGGCAAAAGTTGTTTAAGTGTTGTTGTTCCGAACTGAGAAGGCATTCAAGGACATTTTAACCAAATAAATGCTGCACAGATGTTAATGAAAGACAGTGGCGAACCGTGGCTATCACAACTGGACCTTCTGTAGACACACCCACCCCCCGCCACCGCCCCCCCCCACCCCCCCCCCCCCCCCCCCCCCCCGCGGCATTATAATGTCCGTCTTTTCACTGAATTGTCGTCTTGAAAAGGGTACTCACAACAATTCCGCAACAACTTCATATTCATCTGTTGCACTTGTCATTTCAACGTTAAAAACAATAAAACGGCATGAATTGCTTCGTCACATTCGTTCTAGATCCTCTGTCTCGAGCCAGTTAACTAGCGGGCCTTCTAGAATACCATGGAACCGAGGGAAACTCTGAAAGAATACGCCCATTGGCTACAAATCAACATATGATTGGATGATCAAACTGTCAGTCCAAACGTACGCTCTCATTCAGTGCAACGGCCAGGGCATTCTATCAAGGATGTAGAATACCTTGGTGACGGATATTCTACCCAGAGACCCAGAACAAGATCTGATTGGTTGCTTTCTTTTCTAACAAAAAACCACTGAAATGCGCAGAGCATGGTCCAAGAAGGACAAACAAATCAACGTAACACTGTAATATTACAGATCAATAACACAGATACGATTCTCATTTATTCATTTTATATACATTTTATTACATTTTATTTATATAATTAAATCGATTTTTTTGTTTGTTTTATCTGAGTGTTCCAGGGTATTCTCTGAATACCTTGAAGGCCCTGACGGTTCGCCACTGATGAAAGCATACTTTGTGTATCCACCCCTTCATTTAGTTTCACTCCAAATGTAAATGATTGCTCCCTTTCTACAGTTTTTTTCATAATACTACTGAGATACAAACTATATCAACCTGAAAACATCACCTTTTCAGAGGACAGAACTAACAATAGCCATATGCGTTATTTAAGGTACATTTGATAATGGAAGGTGTTTTCTTACTTATGAAACAGCCTTGAAGTATTTGGATAAAGGTATCGGTGACAACGATCTGCTTTGCTCCTCTTCCCAACGCTCTCTTGTTAACTTGTCCTGTAGCAGTAGGCATGCAGTGTGTTCTTGGTGAGAGAGGTCTGAAGGGAGTGGCTGGGATTTAAAAAGCTGTTTTTTCCAAAGTTTGCTAATCTAGATTTCAAATGGAAATTTGGAATTGTCTCTGGTTTGTAGAAGTTCCCAATATAAATACTAGCACAGAATCATATAGTTATTTTTGGAGGTAAGAGGCATTGCTATTTGCAGTACTGTGCTCGGAACACTTTTGTACATTTTCAATGCCTTTTCTCTTTTGGCTTCTGTCTTCTTGTCTACCTTCGACCCACCATATCCAAATTGTGAATGCCCCCTAGAACTCCTTGTTGATGTTCTTTCTCTTTTGATATTCCTTTGACTACTTCATCCATTCTTACCTCTTTCCTATTTCTTTCCTCAACTACTGCTACCTCCTCATTTTTTATTTTCCTCCTTCCCTTCCATTTCCTATGATCCGTGACTCTTTTTCTCCCTTTTGCCAGCCTCCATGGCAGGTTTTTCCGGTCCTCTGGGCTCTCAGACCAGCCCTTCCCAAATGATGGATGCTGGCAGTATTGAAGCTTTTTCAGGTATACTGCCAAAAAGCAACAGTGCATACTATTTATGTTTATAACACCAGCAATACAAATACTGCAAACATAACTTCATTCATAATGAACTCTGATGACAGGTCCTTAAAGGTGGGGTAGGTAATTTTGGAGTAACCAGCTCGAGTGCGCTAGAATTTGAAAATACACAACCGGAAAAAATCTGCCACTTCCTTACAGAGCCCCTCCTCCAACACACACGTACGCGCACATGACCAATGAGGGCACGAGATAAGTGTGTGCACAGATGGAAGGCTGACAGGCAGGTAGGCCATCCAGTTATTTTAGCCGGGCCGGCTAAAATGATTGGTCGTGCTTTTTACAGTACTACGGCTTCCACAGATGACATTTTTGTATGGATTTTTTGTCAAAGCACTTAATATATTCATTGCTATCGGGATGTTAAGAGCATTCCATGGAATATAACAAAAAGTGTATCTCGAGCCGGTTTCTCAAACTTACCTACCCCACCTTTAAGAAGCCAGATATTTTGAGATGCCAATAGTCGTACACTAATCATCTTCACACGAACAAATTGGCTTCAATTAAAATGCTGAGTGGTAGTAACAGTGGTATAACATATCTGCTTTCATCTTGGCTGGCAATGCAAATATATTGTTGTCAAACAAGTGCCTTTCCCACCGTGGTGCTTCTGTTCAAACACCTGTTTCCATTATAATGCTATTATTCGAGGTCAGATTTCTTGGACTATGTTGTTTTTCTTTCCTCCACTCATTCCTACCAATTTAAACTCAACACCAAAGAACTCCAACTTGCAAGTCACACATTTATATTTCAAATTGCATATCCTTATATATGATAAATGTAAGCTTTCATTCAATACATCTATATCTGCTAGCCTGCAATTTTATTTTTGTTTCCATGTTTCCTAATGTGTAATAATCAGTGGAATTGCAAATTACATAACTACATGGCTGGATTTGTTGTTTTATTTTAGGAACTGGTAGCTAGCCAGGATTACTGGCAGTGATATTGACTTAACTGAAATGTAAAATGCTGCTGTTAATATAAAAGGTCAAGTGCATACATAGACCACCTCTATGTAGGACACTTTTTTGGAGGGAAAGGATCTTGATTTACCAGTATTAGGCATCTGTGTATTTCCTAAAAGTCAACTGTTACTATTGTGAAAAAAAAACAGTCAAGTTATTCTAGCAGCTTGACCTTTTTTTGCAGCTGTTTATAATAATATTGTGCATCACTGCATGCATGTCCTCCTTTAAATGTGTTATTTTGTCATATCAAATTAACAATGACTGTAATGCTGATTTTGTTTATCTTCTACAACATGGTAGCAACAGGGTTTTAATATATGTCCATGTGAGATTCGTATGTATAATCTTTACTATTCTTACATTTTATAGATATGCAGTTTGACCTTCAATCATAGAGGATTATTGCAACAATCGTATTATTCCACATCCCAAATTCATTTTTAACTCATTAAAAGTGTCACTCCAGTCCGACAAGTGTACTTACATCTGTGGTCCCACAATCCGCTCTGATAAATGGATTGTGGTGAAGCAAAGCTTGTTAGCTGAATGCAGAGCTGTAGCTGTCACTACTGTGGTGTCCGCTGGTACTCCATAGTGAGACACACACACACACACACACACACACACACACACACACACACACACACACACACACACACACACACACACACACACACACACACACACACACACACACACACACACACACACACACACACACACACACACACACACACACACACACAGTATCCCCAGGAGCCGTGTAGATTGATTGTGTTGTTTTGTCTGAGTCACTCCTGCTGCTGTTTCTCCTACCTTGCCCTCTTTGGGTCCTGTTTTCATTTGTTCCCTCTTGCTCTTTTTTTCTCTTGTTTTGTCAGTGTACAGTAATGTAGTTTAATTAGATAATGATGTGATAAATAAACCCTTTTAGAGAATATCCTTGTCCACTTTGTTGGTGTTTGATAACCTACTACTATATGCTACTAGTACTATTACATGGTGTTCATTGGCTACCCTTTGCTTATCCATCTTGTGATATGACCCTTTGTTGTGTTGTCTTTTATTGATGTTATAATCTGCTTTACCTTCAAATTATGTAATGATTACTTACTAGACCATTTTCTTCACCCTATAAGTTATTATATCCACATTACTGAAGATTTGAAGACAATGGTCAACCTTACAATATATTCAGAACATTTCAATTGAGTTATTTGGTTAAAAGTAGTGTGATATTCGATTGTCTTCATAACGCCCGTGCCACCGCTAGATGGGTAGATTATTTTCATACATACATTGAATTGTTGTTGTTGAACTGAGAGAATCCAGAACACTGGCATAACGGTATCTTTTTTTTCTTGCCCTTTATTGACAGATTTCCCCCAGCCTGGTGGCATGGCGGTCAATGTGGGGGCTGCACCCCTCTCAGCAGAGAGGACTCCAAGTATAGCAGAACCCCAGCATCCCACACCCCCAATGGGTTCAGAAGTCCCTAAAGGGCACTGCCCCATGATGCCTGAACCCCAGCCTCCTCGTAGCCCTCTGGATTTGTCAGCAGGTAAAAAAGACATCATACACAGTACAGTCATACTGCTTATTGTTATTTAAGATACTGTAACATAACCCACTTCTATAGCAGGGTTTGCACTTGACATGTCTTGAATCAAGAGGTGTCTCACCTGCTCGCAGCAGAACAACTGACAAATAATAATACTTTATAGTGTAATAATATATATAATCATATATGTGACTCAATTGTCCCACAGAGGATTGCAATATAAAGAGGAGACGTCTGCCATTGCTCTGCTATAGCTTCCTCCTCACATCCCAGCTCCAATGTTAGTCCAGCTCAAGGTCAATGCAAATCTGATGCTGACACGTATAGGGTCGCCCATCATGCCATGGCTCCTGGTCATGTACTGCATGTGTTGTGTTTGCGTGTGTGTGCATCTCTGTGTCTACTTGTCCTTCAGAGAGAAGCTGTCTGTGTGTCACAGTCTACTCTCTCTTGACCAGCCCACAACCCCCCCCCCCCCCCTTCTCCCAGCGCCCATAGGGCTGTTCTCCAGTTCAATGCACATCTCATCCTAGAAAGCATGGAGTTGTAGTTGTCACCAATCTGTGGCTTGTGTCAGCTAGTAGGGCCATGCTTACATCTCATGTGGGCAGCAGAACTTGGCAAAAGGCTTCACAGCAGCTGAGCCCCCATGGTGCATTGCAGAACTAGTCTCTGTACTAGATATATTAGCAGGGGGAGAAATATCAAAGTGGATTTGTCTTTATTTTATGAACGCCAAACACACAACTTTGCTTACAGCAAATAACCAAAACCTGAAGAAAGCAAATAGTCTCCTCCTCATCTAAGACTCGAAAGCTGAAGATTTATGGTTGTGAGGAAACTGGTTTTATCTTCAAATACACAGCTGGCTCCGGACAGTTTCTGAGGTAAACAATTTCATGACTTACCATAGATTCTGAAATAAAAAGTTAAATCAAATAGTTTGCAGGGCTGGTCACTAATAACAGCTTGTGTTAAGAAATACAAACATGGGGGAATAAGATTATCAAAACTATAATGGCTAGCAAGGCAAGTTAAGTATAATGTACATTTTCATCATACAACATGTCATATTGTACAATCTGTTGCTCTGAGCTTTTTTACTGACTCCGAGTCAGCCTGCTAATGTGCATAACCGTCTTAAAGCCAGACCGCCAATTCATTTAATATCTGTATAACGTATAGTTGTAAACTCATTTGAATTTATTAAATAAAACTGACAACAAATTTTAGTTATGACAGATAACCGATGCATTTACAGTATAAGGTCAGTATTGACAAATCTCGTACATCTATACGTAAAACACAAAGAATGCTGAGATTTTCCTCTTAACATAAGTCCACAAAAGGCAAAGTGGCAACAACTGATAATGCTGAGAACATATTTTATTGAAAATACACTCATAGCATCAGAGTTGTGAGTATGCCATTACTTTGTTGTTGTCAGATGGTTAGGGTTAGTTTTATTTCCGCTGCTGCTAAAGTATAACCTACCAGAGACCAAAAGAACTACAAGAGTGTTTGAGTCATTACAACTGAGCAGTGCTTCACTTCCTGCAGCTACGGTTGCAGAGCCACAGCTGACTCATGCCTGATGTGATTCATTCACAGACGCTTCAATCAATTTGTAACAGGTGGTGAAGGCATATAAAATGGAGACTACTGTCCGACTGTCTGACTACTGTGCCCCTCACAGCCACCCTGAGATAGATTCTAAGATAGTGTGTGTGTGTGTGTGTGTGTGTGTGTGTGTGTCGACTTCAAGTGTTAGAGTTTTTAAGACATGAGTTACAGCCATTGTATCATTGCACAGTCTCAACTACATTAAAGGTTCAATGCAGAGTTTTCATACAAACTGTGCTTCTTTACATTGAAATCATCCATTGTTTTAGTATTTGTTTAATTGCTAGAAGTGTTCTACATTTCCTTTGCTTTAATGTTCATGTGACCTTGAAAATAATCGACAAAAAGCTATAATTTACAGCTGATTAGCATATGCATTTGTCCTCAATCAACAACACCTACCTCATGCTAAATGCTAAGGAATAAAGCCCACAATGGACGACCTTCTCTTGTCAGATATCTCACTCTACAAAAAAAAAAGAAACACATGAAGCTTTTTTACATCTAACATTGTGTGAGTGGTGGATAAAGCAGAATGGGATGTGTTATAGTAATGATGGGCCACTTCAGCTTGTGATAACTGTATTGCTGTAATGGCGCATTTCCACTGTAGCCCCGTTTAAGCGTCCTTAATCGTCCTCAAGCGGCCAGGCCAGTTTTTGGTGGCCTTTCCATATAGCGTAGCACCGGCTAGCGGGTACTTTTTCCCTCTTTTTCCGGCCCCATAAAATCGTGGTTCTATTAGGCCAGGGCCAGGGCTGAACTAGTGACGTCAACACTCTCGACTGCTAATTGGTCGGAGAGAATCGTCACAAGATCGCGCGCAAGATCATCCCTAGCGTCGCATATATATCTAGAAGCAAGCTTGCAGCATTTTTATACACAGCATTTTTATACGTTCCTACATCTCATTGGGGATGATAAAATCCAGCGGGAGCTCGACGGAACAACTCGAAATGTGAAAGTGTTCCAGGATGTCTCTGCACAGATGCCCCGCCTACACTGCGTTGCTACCCCAGGTCCTAAACTTTAATGAAAATGCACCACGGCCTCGGACGGGCAGCGAGGCAGCCCGAGGCCTGAGCGAGGATGCTTAGGGACGCTTAAACGGGGCTACCCCGCTGCAGTGGAAATGTGCCATAAGTGGAGTGAGTGGGTTGGCTGTCAACAGAAGGACCTCATGACAGTTTCCTGGAGCTAAGGGGGTTTGGATCATGACAGTATTTACAGACCAAGCGAATCAAGACTCATTCTTAGACCTTACATTTGCCCTGCTGTTTATATATATATGGTACAAGTGTTTGCACGGTGGACGATAAAACACTGCAGTACAGTATATGCATATATGATGGCTGTTCATTTACATTTTCCGAGCATAATGAAGTCGCTCAAATCATTATTTAAGTCATTCTAATCCATTTCGCCAACGTCTTTTTCTGGCTCTCCCAATTACTGCACATACAGTAAAGAGAGCAAATTTCCGTCAGAGGTTTGTTAATATGAAATATGGCCATCCAGAGAGTAAATGTACTAGATGAGCCCTGACAGCTGCTCCACTTTAGCTCCTCTTCTCTACTGTATATGTGCGTATAACAGGAAACTAGAGGAAAACTGGGCCAAAGTAGCAGAAGAACCCTGTACCTCGAGTCTACCTGAGCTTATTATACAGTGTCCCAAAAACAGGCCGTTTTAGTTACAGCTTGCTTGCCTGTAATTGACCTCCTTTCTATGGGACCATTATTCAGTCTTTCTGTTGTGTGCCCGTATCCCTTTCCATGTACATATGCATTGTCGCACTGTTTATTTATAACATGCCTGCACAGAAATCACATTCACACACCCAAGTATTGCTCTCTGTTGGTCTGAAACAGCTCTTTGCTTCCCAAATGTTAAAGTGAAACACTCTACTATACCCCAAGGCTGCAGTGAGTCAGCCACCGACAAGTACCAGTTCTCTTTATCACTTTATTCAAACATCTTGTTTGTGTGTGTATCTTTTTTTTCATTCCTTCAAGCATTTACTTACTCAGCATTGACACTGAAGGAATTTTAAACATTTATTTGGTTGAAATCAAGATCAACAAAACGCACACAACGTCTTGTTCGATTAAGTCGGGACAGATTATTAAAAATGAAAAAAGCCCTTATGCTCTGTCTAATCCACTTTGTGATCTTTGTCAGCATTTATACCATGTAGCAAATAGCTATAACAATGACTATTATTTAAAACTCTAGAAAGAAAATTCCATAAATATGTTTCAACTTTCAGAGTTAAAGGTCACATGTCATGGCCATTTCCACTGATCATAATTCCATTGTTGATGTCTACTAGAATAGATTTATACTGTGCAATTTTCCAAACTCACATTGTTTCGCATACAGCATCTCTGTAAACTACGTGTATTCACTCTCTCCACTAAACGGCTCGTTGCAGCTCTTGCCCCCCCCTCCCTGTGAGCCCAGTGTGCTCCGATTGGTCGGGACCAGTCGGGACGTTGTGAATCGCTGTGATTTCCTTGTTTAGCGATACACAGCGAAACACAGCCAAACTCACCCTGAGCACACACAAAGTCACAGCCGAAGTAAAAACAATAAGTGTGGCTTGATATTGAGTAAGAAAAAGGTTGATAAACGCTGTGAGAGTGGGTCTGCAGAGAGAATTTCGCCACGATCCCAACTGTCTGTTATCAGCCAGGGAGGACAGATCAGCAGAGCTGCATGCACTGAGTGTGTGAGGAAGTCCGTGGATTGGTCAATTTGGACCAATCAGCGGGGGCTTAACGTAACGGCTCCGCGGACGTAACGTAACGGCTCCACGGATTGGTCCATTTTGTTCCGGGTACGACATGACATCAGATGTCCCCGGAATAATCAAATGGATGATGACGTTTCACCAACGAGGCGTTTTGGGGAGGTATTTTCTGTTTTAGAGTTTACTCGCTACATGGTGTACTTTGAGGGTTTTGACTCTGCACACCGTTTACATGCATAAAAACCTTCATAACACACAAGGGGACGGGTAATAACCGGAAAAGCATGACATGTGACCTTTTAAGACTTTCATTTGTTATATTGTTTTTGTATGTTTTATCTGAAGTTTCTCAATTATGTTCTGTCTAACATAGACTAAGGGAATCAATTCACATGCACAGACCCATCTCCCCCAACTTTAAACTTTCCCTCTTCACCCACAACAAGGTGCCTTAAGCGAGTCCTGGCCAGATGAGGCTGGCTGCCCATCGACAGACCTTCCTTTCAGCCCCAGTGTCTCCACGGTGATCAGCCGCCATGCCGGCCATCTCGCAGTAGGCCCTGACGACCCAACTGACAGTTGGCCTAACCGAGAGAGCTCTTCCTATGCTGGAGGCGATGAAAGGGAGGGAGAAGGTTCAGACCGAAAACAGAAGAGGAAAAAGAAAAGACGACAGAAGGATGAGGGATCTTATGAACAGCCCGAGATCAGGGTTAACCCTGAAGTGCAAACACAGGGAGAAAACAATCCATCAACAGAGGAGTTCTATGGCAGGATTGGCCCAAGGCGGGATAAAGGAGATGCTTGCTGGGAGGAGCAGCTTGGGAAGAGTGGAGGCCGGGGGAAGAAGGGTAAGAGTAGGAAAAAGCTTCCGGAAGAGTGGGGAGTGACAGCAGAACCGTTTGTCCCTTCGCCTGTGGAAACCTCTCAAAACACAGAAGAGGTAAAGATGGATATAGGAAGTCCTGTTAAGACCAAACTGGAGTCCTCGTTCGGAGACATGGATACAAGCCAGAGCCCCTGGAAAAATGAGGTCTACCCAGAAGAAGGACTGGTCCCTTCCCCCCTGTCTCAGGAGAAACTATCCCCAGCAGATGATTCCATCAACCCACTGGTCCTGAAGAGCGAGCTGAAAGCCACAGCAGTTCCCTTCACTATGCGCTCCACCCCCAATAGTGCAGCACCTGGCTCCTTCCCAATTGCTGGTCGCCCTGATGATCCATTTGACCTCCTGATGGATACTGAAAATGCAAGCTTAGGCAACAGCAGCATGCTCTTTTCACCTGGTGGTGACATGGTTGACAGCGGGAGGTTTGACAGTTCCCTCCAAGAGTGTATGCAGGGTATGCCCGATGAAGACACCTCTGCTTTCAGCCCCCCCTCCCAACCAAGCCCAAGCCCAGGCCCTATCCCAAAAGGTGAGGTGTTAGCCTCGGCCCCGCCCCTCTCACCTTCAGATGCTTCATGGATTGTCAACGACTCCAACGTAAGCAGCAACAGAGATCTATTTTCCTTCAGGGACATGAGCACTCCAGGTGTTCCTTCAACCTTAGGGCTGTCCTTCGATACTCCTAGCCCAGCTCCTCTCCGCTCCCCCAAAACCACAGCGCAGGAATTCCAACCCAAAGAGCGCAAAGATGCCAAATCAGCCCAGAAGCAAGCCAATAAGTCTCGTTCATCTTCCTCCTCCTCTGTAAAGAGTCCCACCTCCCCAGGAGCAAACGATTTCCCTCCACAAGCATCCCCAGTCCTCCCCCCTTCTTCCCCAGGATGTGGTCTTAACCCTACAGCTAAGCCCTTTATTCCGAGCTTTGCGGATCCTTTGGAAGAACCAGACGTGGTCCCTCCAGTTGTCCCCATCATCGAAGGTTGGTCGTAGTCAGCCTTGGACAAAGTAGAACTTAATATAGAGTAACTAAGAAATGAAACGATGAAATGAATGGTTAATTGCCATGCATGGTCTTATCATCCAGCTTGAGTCTTTCAGATATTTCAAGCTGATTTGTAATGCTTTCTCTGGACTAATTGATTTCTTGGGTGTATTTTACTAATCAGGGTTTGAGTGTTTAGTAGACCCTTGCATGGACACAATTGTCTAAAACTGGGCTGTTTTTGAGTGACTAACGCATGAGTTCAAGTGTTGATCAACTGATGCTGTGGATTGCCTTGGCTTTAATGAAACTCCCAATCATACACTGCTTGGATGATCTTATAATTAACAGTGTTGTCGTTGACGGGTGTGCCACTACTAACCAATCACAGTCTTTCTCCTTAGCAACACCTCTAGAAATCTTCACCAAATAAAAAAACAACCTTCTCTTTCTCCTTTTTGTCCAGGTCTATGTGTTAACACTGTAATCATACTGTTTTCTTTGCATCCAGTGGTGGGGTGTCAATCTTTCTTCTCACTTGTATGTCCAAGTAACTATTTTCCTCACTAGCAACCTGTTTCTTCTCCTAGATGATGATGAATGTTGAACAAAAATACTTTCTTGGTGTATATTATTAACCCTCCCTCTCTTGTTATGCATCAAACGTTCCTATCCTGGTGTGACTACAAAATGTATAACTTAAATATATCAAATGGTAACTGTTGTTTTTGTCTACTTTACTTTTCATATTCTGCGATGATCGATGCCTTGGCTGTTCCTCCACCTCAGGTAAGTCCTATTTTAGTTGTTTTTCTGTTTTTATTTGTTTTTTTCATTTATCATTATTGAGACCTATCCCTTGGAAGATTGCAGAATGATTGACAGAATACCCAGACTGTTCAGCAAATAGCTACTGTTGCTTGTAATGCCATATTGATGAGTACTCGAGCAGTCGGGCCATTGTTAGCATTAGGTCCATGATTGATTGATTGAAAAGTTTATTAACAGCTTGTATATTGGGTACAGTACAGTACAGCTCAAAACATACAATTGTTAAGGGGATGCAGACCAGAGAAAGACTTTCGTCTTGTTTATATCAGGGTCCCCCATTTCCAATTCATCATATCATTTAAGACATATAAGACATACAGATGGCTTATTTACAATTTACATACAGGTGGTTTTTTACATACAGATTGCTTATTTACAATTTTCATTTTAGATTTCGTTCTAATACATCCTAACCGGACATTTAAGACATACCAAGTCTACAGATATACAGTTAGTAACAGAGTCTAAAATGCGAGTGTATATACATAGATGGGGGGGAAGCTGTCCATTGTACGACAGGTTGAGATTTGTACCATTACCGGGGCCAGTCTTGCAATGCTCTCCCCCGAAGGTGCTCTTTAAGAGAGGTTTTACTTTCCTTTACAGTTGTGGGAAGAGTGTTCCACCTTGATGTGGCATAATTGCGAAACGTGTATTCCCCCTTTTGTGTGCCAAATCTGGGTTTCACATGATTTGTGGAGCTCCCTCTGGTGTTATGATCATGGTATTCCTTGACCTTTGGGAAGAATTTTGACATGTACATGGGTACCATAGAGGTGTAGTGGATCTTGTAGACCAGGCCCATTGCAAGTAGCTGTACTCTGTCGTCTACTCTAAGCCATCCTAGGTTGTCAAAGTGGGCAGAGGTGAGGTGGGTTCTAGATGAAAGGTCAAGCAGTAGTCTGACCAGTTTATTTTGCGATGTTTTAATTTTAATTTTTAGCGCCTTGGAGGTGCTATGGTACCATGACGTGCAAGCATAGTCATAGTACCCTTGAATGAGTGCTCCTGCCAGAGTTTTCAGGGTGTTTTTCTTTACCAGAGAGGAGATCCGGTATAGGAATCTAGTTCTTTGATTGACTTTTTTTATTACATTGGATGCCATTTTGTCACAGGAGAGGTTTGCCTCAAGAATAGATCCTAGGTATGTAATTTCCTTCTTACTTCTGACAATAATGTCACCCACTGCAACTGAGAAGTCGTCGGATTCATTTTAAGCATTTAAATCTGATAAAGGTGCCCTCTGCTACTGCTCCGGTTTAAACATTCTATGGTCAGAATATCAAGGCACATTAGAAGTCTGGAGAGAATTAGAATTGGGAGGGATGAAACCCTCTTTAATGATCACACATGCAGAGCACACAGCACACACAGTGACATGTGTTCTCTGCTTTTAATCCATCCTAGTACCAGGAGTCCAGTACTAGGAGCAGTGGGCAGCTATTGTACAGCGCCCGGGGAGCAATGGGAGTGAGGGGGGAAGGGGGATGTCTGGTGCCTTGCTCAAGGGCACCACGGCAGGGCAGGAGGTGAACCTGCCCTGCCATTCACCTCCTGGAGTGTATGGAGTGTGTAGAAGTCCACACTCCATATTTTATGTCTGGTCGGGGACTTGAACCGGCAACCCTAGGTTATTTATTGTCAAACTAACATAGCTACAGAATAATGTCGTTATGTCGACGGCTCACAGTCCAAGCCCCTACTGACTGAGCCACTGCCGGACGAAGAGGGTATTTTACTGATGTTTGGATGGCATCTCTACAATTTGCAGAGGATGTTTTTGACTTCATTGAGCCATAAACTGCAATCTGTGCAAGAGCAGGTTGCTCCACTTCTGCTGTGACACTTACTGTACCTCACCAACTTTTATGCATAGTCATGAGTTTTGATGGCCTTAATATTGGGATTGTGCATACATTTGACCATGCTCTGAAGTCAGACAGTCAGAATGAGCTTCGGAGAGAATTTGCATTAAAAAAATAAGCTAGTAAAGCTTTCTTGTGGAACTTAGAGTATAGAGTTTTTCATTGCATGTCCATTGGGACAAACCAATCTGGCCTGGGGATGCCTTGGGATATGCTGAGAGATGATTCAGCTTTTTTACTTTTGTTGCAGTGTGACTCATTCGTAAGAAGTTTTTGCATAAGAAATAATAATATTTTTGCGCTGATAAGTAGCTAAACATAGAACAGTTTGACTTGTGTGTGTTAACTGATGTATATCATAATTAGACAATGTAAGGAAGCTGTTCATAGGCATCATGCACACCTCATGTTTAAAGCTAGAAGGAAGTTGAAGCAGTGTAACTACATTTGAAAAAGTTTTCTCAGCTAAGAGAAATACTCTTTACAGCCACAGAAAATAGATATATTGGCCCTGTGTCAGGTGTATGGTGATATCCTGTATATGCTTGCTTCTGTATGTTGATTGTATATGTACTCTAAGTCCATGTTGGCATTTGTGCACATGTGCAGTATGCTTTGTGTGTTTGTCTTTTTGTGTGTATTTTCAGATTAGCTCAAGTAATTTGTTTTGTTTTATGAGTGATGCACAGGATTCATTTCCTTGTCCTTCCTTTCAATACTTCCTGTCTCTGCCTCCCATTGGAGGCTGTCATGATGAAAAAGCAAGCCTTCAGCTCCCCACAGGAACAGCTGAGTGTTGAACCTGGGTATTAAGCAGCTTTGATCAATGCCTTCCACAAGAACGAAAAGGCTAGCATTAGTGTTTTTCACTTCAAAATCACAAATACAAATATATTGCAGCATTGTGGATGGTTTTCTGCTGTCAGTGCATGTCACTTACAGTACAAGGTATTGCCAGCAGTATATTTCCTGTGTGTGTGTCCTTTTGTCAATATCCAGGGGTGGGTCTTTGTCACCAAAAGTGGTATTTAATAGGGATGTAGCGATATATCGCAATATTAAATAAATAGTCCAAGGGTGGGTCTTTGTCACCAAAAGTGGTATTTAATAGGGATGTAACGATATATCAAATATCGCAATATTGAATAAATAGTATAATAGTAAATAAATAATAGTAAATAATAGTATAATAGTAAATAAAAAAACCGTTTTAAATAATAATTAAAAGATAACCTTGATGAGTGAGTTAGAGTTGAGTTACTTGAAAAAGTAAAGTGAAACTTGATTTATTCTATTGCAGGGTCTGATTATTATATTGACACTTTAAAATACTACTATCCTACTAAAATGCTGTACAAATCAGATTTATTATTTAATAAAGAAAAAAAAATTCAAGTAAAATTAAAAAATAATTCACATTTTTTTTCTTTATTTTTCAATATCGCGATAAATATCGTACCGTGGACTTTTTAATCGCGATATTATCGTACCGTGAGTTTTTGGTATCGTTACATCCCTAGTATTTAAGCCTTGTACAAAAGTAAAAAAGGCATGTGGAGCACAACAAAGAGCAAGACGCTGGAGGATTACAGACAGTATACAGTACAGTCGCAAATAGTGAGGTAAACATACAGAAAAGAAAATGCTAGAGGCAGAATACATTTGAGTTCTAAACAAAATAAGCTATTCAAGAGTATTAAAGAGAAACAGAAGGATGAACAAGAGGGAAGCAGGGAGTGAATACTGTTGTTTATGTACCACAGGAGAGAGTGAGGCAACGGATAAAGGTAGAGGAGAGGTTGTGGAAGACTTTTGGCAGTGATAAAGGAAAAGTTTAACAGAATGCTGACCGGGAACAGGTCAGGATAATGTATAAACCCTTCTTGAAATAGCCCAGAGGTAGGTAGATATGCAGGAGCAAAAATGCAGAAATGCATCATTTTGTAAACCATAGGGAGGGTGAAATGACAATAAGAAAATGTGGAGGTATTGATAAAAACTTGAGGGTATGGGAATGTACCAGCAATGGACAGTGATGGTAGATCCTCCATTCCCACCCTTGTCTGTTTAACAATTGAAAGAACCAGCAAGCTACCAACATACAGTACATACTACTTTGTATGTATTGTGGTTGTCTACCTTATCACCTCCCTCTGAGGCTATAAATAGAAAACCAAGGGTACAAAGTGCGTTCTCCTGACTGCACACGACAACCATCTGCACGTTTGAACAGTTCAAACACGAAGATATTTTTCAATTACTGTACGGTTACGGTATATAAGTAAGCTAGCATTACACACA